ACCAAGCTAATGTGACCAGGCCTTAGGTCTATTCGAATCTGAATAAAAATGGTTAAAGTCGTGTATTTCTATCAATAAAAATTGAATGGACATTTTATTTTGCCTTTTCATTTGCCAGAATTTAGTACCAATACTACTGTGGCGTTTTTATCACAAAATATTCTGAAAAAAATCGCTAGCACGTCATGGCCAATATCAGCGTTAGCATTGAAGACCAACTATAAGGGCTTTCAAGAAAGTTGGTACTTAAAAATAAGAATGGTTTGTGGTAATGAGAGGAAGAATAAGTTTTTTTTTCTAGCCATGTCATCCATTTAACCATCCTCCATTAAAGACAGATATGACCACAAAACATAAATAAGAATTGTAAAATGTTATATAAAATGTAACTGAAATTTCTTACCTACTACCAGGACTATTTTGTGACGGCTTGACAAAAAATTTTAAAATAGATTCAACGTTGGGAGGAAAATGTTTTGTAAAGTAAAGTTTATTGTCAAACTTAAAGTTGCTAATAAGCCCTGCTTTGAACAAAAATATTGTGAAGAGGATCAGTTCAAGTGATTTATAACGCCTACAGAAAACAAAATAAAACTATATTTGAAAAATAAGTCAGGCATGTCAATAAATTTATGGGGTGATAGGTAACAATGCAAAGTATTTTATTCACACGCTGATGGAAGAAAAAGGTGAAAAATTTTTATTAGGCATCTGAGTTGCCTTCACCCACGCAATGGAGAATGAAGACTGTCAAAGCTGTAAGAATAATAACACCAGAGCTGAGAAATGAAAATCCTTACAATATTGACCAATATGATGTATGGCTCTTATCTAAATGGATAACAATAACACTTACGAAGAAAGGAAAATAAACACGTGTCCCTTGAAAAATAAGATAAGTCATAGCAAATATATATTAAAAACATAACTGCTAAATCTGTTTATTACTCTTTAAACAAAATACAAACGTAAACATAACTCTCAGGTCAAAAAAACCCAAATCTATACGTCAATCCAACATTTGTTTGAGATCTTTTCCGCTGACATAAGCCGGTGATTTATTTTATTTAAACATTACAATATCGAGCAATTTTAAGATAGAAATTGCAAACCTAGTTTGTCGCCATGCGAAATTAGTTTTAACAAACTTAGATCTAAAGAATCTCGGCCTCTGATTTGCAGGCTATACAGACAAATAATCAGAAGCTTGATATATGTGATGCCATCTACAAGACGAGGTGTTTCATACAGTGTTACTACACTTTCTCAACATTAATCAGCTGCAAGAGTAGTCCACCTGGACCGTGTTCAGCTTGTACTGCAATATCAGAATTATTTTTCTTTAAAATATTTTGTTTCTAAAAAGACAACCCAGCTCTTGCTTTTAAGTGGTTTTTGCAATGCAAACTGGGGAGCCTTGAGTGATAAAGTAGTATCACAGAATATGGCTTCAAACTTAGAAAAGATAGATTTCTTGCTTCATGGAAGAGAAGTAGTCTAATGCTTCAAAAATTTTCTTCGTTTTACAATTCTCCTCATTTGACATGATTTTTACGTGAAACGTATATTCTCGAGAAAAATTTTGATATTCCAGACGTAAACATCGCTAGTTTCTTCTTTTTACATGCAACGAAATCTTTCAAATCTTACAAAAACAGACAAATATTTCTTTCGCATAAAGTTTTTTAAAAAGGTAAGGTATTTTTATTTGACTATGGCGAATAGTTTGAAAAATTTTTGTCCTGAAATCATGAAAAAAGTAAATATAAGTGTTTTATAATTTAAAGATTCCTGTTTGATGCTGTTTTTTAATCATTGTAAAAATTGAAGAAGATATTGCGTGTAGAATACTTCAAGTTATGTTGCGCTGTTTACTACTGGAAAAAAAGGAATTGATAGAATTAATTAAACATATCAGCACAGAAGTGATCGTATTTTCACGATACCACAAGCCCAACAGGATCATTTACTCAAAGTGGAGAAGAGTCTTTCTCATTCAAAAAAGACTGTTTATATTGTGCTACAGAAGTTGTTTTTAAAGCCGACGATAGAGAAAGAAAGTTATGATGCGTTTGAAGTGACAACAGTGAAGCAAAAGATGTGGTAATATATGTGTTTTCAAACACAGGTGCCACCTGGGACAGGCAGTGCAAGCTAGGTTGTTAGTTGTACATGACCTTCCGGCTGCAGACGCAGTGTATCACCGAAGTTGCAGTTCTATATTTTGAATGGGAAACAGATTCCATTTGCGTACTGCTATAATACAAACGAAAGCAAAAAAGGAAAACAGTTGGACAGCCCCCAAACACAGATAAGTAAGACGTGTTCCTTACCGTAGTAAAATACTTGGAAGAAAATGATAAAGAACTGCTGCTTACTATTTTAGATCTCCAGGCTAAGATTACTGACGATCTCTCTGATGCTAGGTCTCCATATGGCCATACTTTTATCAAAGAAAAGTTGATTGAGCACATCCGCAAAGAATTAAGTATGACTGAAATTAGTAGTGAGCCTAATGTCGTTACTCTTAAAAGAACAGCAAACTCTATCTTGGACGAGTTTCACAAGTCTCAAGTAAGAAACATGAGCCAAGAAGATGAAAACAAGGAAAGTATCTTGGCTGCAGCCAGGCTCATAAAAAAGATATTAAGAAAGTTTTTAAGTCATGAGTTTTATACCCCACATCAAAGAAGATGCAGAAATTCACTTTGAATTTTTAACAGATACACTTAAGACTTTTGAAAGCTGTATAGTTGCTGGAAAGCATCGAAAAATAATTATCAACTGGTCTTAGTATAATGCAGGCAGTGCGTCGACGTGCAATTATGGCACCACTTTAAATAGGGCTAGCTGTCCATTGCACCACAGCTTTGCATTCCGAATCTCGAGTGCATATACCAGGTGGGCTTTTGTTCACCAAACAATGAGGTGCAAACTTTCAGCTAGAATGTATCAGTTGTTCTAACCACGAATATCCTATATTTTAATGGAGAGTTTATAAATATATTTTGCAGACATTCCTGATCAAATTTTTGGACCTTCGATGGCACGAACTCTATTCATGATAGGAAATGGTAGTATCTGTTACACCACTAGCAAGTTATATTAATCCATTCCCACGGTGGAAATCAATTAATGCAGTTGAGATTTCTGCAGCCGGGAATCTTCAGATAGTCTCACCACTGTAGCCTTGATGTCCCTTTAACTTGCAATATAAGAACAGTGACATTAAAGAGATTTTAGCCATGTGCTTGAATACCACTCTTCTCTAGAAAATGTCTTTATTATTCGACACAAATGCCAGTACAAATTGGTCAGGTATGAAGAAGACGAAAATTGTTGTTGAAGATCATCCTAAGAATTCCTCCGTGTTTTTCTGCTAATGATAGATATGGACCCAAATATTGAAACATGCATGTAATAAATTCATTGCTGAACATGCTAGGAAATATGGGACCTATTTCGAGGAAAGCATTCATTCTTGTTCAAACTAAGCCATCGGAGATCCTATAAGTAATGTCATACTTTGCGATGGCGCATTTCACACACAGCGGTGCTTCCTTGGTTCTATTTGTCATTCAATGACAGAGACCGTGTTAAAAGAGATTTTGGAGCTTGCATACGCATCGAATATCGCATGCATTCCTTGGTCAACTCGTTGTTAATGCTGCTTTGAACACCCTTCCCTTTGCTTTAGCACTTGTTCTCTCTGTTCTGCAGTTGGCAAGTACAGGTAGCACGATAATAAAATGTTTGCAATATCATTGCTTTTAATTTGCCATAGTATAGATAGCATTATTGTAATCATGCGATGTTTTAGAACACAATGTTTCTCTCAAAGACAATGACAGTCAGGGTGGATTGAAACTACGTCACATTCAGCACGCGACGTAGTTAAATTCTTCACAGCAGCGGAAAAATTTAATCAAATTTTAAATGTACCTAGTTAAAAATAAAAACAATTTGCTCGTGTGGAGTGAAGTCCGTTTTGTCGAAAGAACCAAGAGCATTTTTCTATTCGTCTTTTGCAGGTTCGAATCTCGTCTCGGTATGGTGTACTTTGTTTCGTTGTGTGAATAATAATCATGACTCTTTATCCGAAAATTAATTAAATTTTATATGTCCTCACAACGAAAGCATTAGAAAAATAAACATATTGTCAGGGTTAGGGATAGTATTATGAGAAAATTGTGCAACAACGTGCATTCACTGAGCAATGTTATTGTGTCCAGGACCTGGATTAAGCATTGGATTAAAGGATCAAGTGGCTAAAAATACTTGTAATTCACTTGCGGGAGAAATACCCATAGCTAACCCGCACAGAGTCAGCACGCCTTAAATTGTGCTGAATTTGGAGACTAAAATCTGTCTCTTGATTGGTTTATTGCCGTTGTGCTGGCTAACGAGCCGCCGTTTTTGCTGAAATGTTCAAGTGGTGTTGTGCGAAATTCAGCACAAATTGAGATTGTTGATAGCGAGGTTTTATCTTTGAGCTTCAAAACCAACAATATTAATGAGAAGCATGGCATCTTTCACTGATCGAGTCGAAGATGCTTTTACGAGGAAAGATGAAACTTTTATGGCTCAACTCTACGGAGAGATGTTGGATTGCCTGAAAGTCAACAGCATTGTTACCAACGATAATTTGTTGGATCGTCTCGGTGTTGATATTTTCCGAAATATCAATGCCGAATTTTACATAACGCAGAGTGCCAAGACAAAGAACACAAATTTGGTTGCCTTAAAGTGCTACTGAAGTGAAATTTTGGGTATCGATTTTTTTCTATAATCAAATAGTTCTATCTTTCCTGATCACTTTGGTATAATTTTTATGCATATTGAAGCACGGGATCATCAATAAATTTTTGCTCAAATTTGGGTTACGCGTGCGAATTTTTATCATTGAAATATTATACGGATGTGTCGTAATGAAAAGGACGGAAGTCGAAGTATGAGCATTGATTTACTAGTATTTAGTTAGATTTTTAACACAAATACACAATAAAATATGAGTTCTTCAAGCAGTGAAAGCGAACGCAGTTCGGATACTGAAAACTCAGATATGGCAAATGAAAATTTACTTTCAAATTCCGGCGATGAGGATACAATTGTGGCTAATTCAGTGGTAAATCCTTACGAAAATGAACCTCTTGCGAACGCAGTCGGAGAGAAGTTTGTGTCGGTCGAAGAAGACGCAGATGGCTTAGAACCTCAAACATTGGAAGCGAGGTTCGAAGGAACCGTTCAGTTAGATAAGTGGTAAGTCGATAAATGTTACTAGAACTCTAGAAGAAATTAAACCATGAATTAAACATGTTATTTTGTCCCTATGTCGTGGTGCATAAATATGATAACAAACCACTTTTTTATAGGTGTGCATGTAGCTTGTGTCGTACTCAACTGCTGACAGATGCCATTGAATACCGTTGTTGTCAATAGGTTGGGCCTACTTTACATAAACTGGTATTTGATGGTAGCATTGAAAAAATTAGCTGTGTTACTCTTCACGAAGAGTACACGATTATGACACATGCTACAGTCTTGAAGAATGTTTGAAGAATGTTGGCTCACTTCTAAGAGACCAAGATGAAAGGTCATACAAGCGTCGTAGAATACATGAAAATGAGTTAGTACATTTTTGATTTCTAATTTTGTTTTGTAACGAATGATTAATATCTTGCCATGTATCTCTACTTTTTACCTTTATGTGGTTCATTATTGTGCTGTGATGCTTCACAATTTTGTTGTGTGAAGTCAAAATAAATAATCAAATAGAAATTACTATTTTGAATTTCTCATATATACTTGATAGCAGTTGCATACCGTTGGGTCATTCGATGGCTGTGTGGATGCCTTGGTTGGGAAAATTCTAGACCATTACCTGCATTTGTCTACACAGACATCCGAAAACGATTTCCATTACGAAATCCCCTAGGCCAAGAACATGCTGGCTACAAGTCAGCACAGGAAAGAAACTGATAGAAGTAGGAAACATTTTTTGTAGCATAGTATATTATTTTATAACTAACTTTAAAGTTGGCTTGCTAAGAATATTTGTCAAGTAATTCTTGTAGACAATGACTTTTTGGATGTCTTTTCATTGGCTGTCCACAATTTTTGCATAAGCGCATTTTTTTTGGATCTGAAGGACCTGTTGAAGCAGCTTTTTTTTCTTTGTCTAAACCTTTTGCTTGCAGTACATGTTGCTGTTGATCTTTAAATAACAATTTATTGTGTTTACTTTTAGAATGCACTGGCCATACCTATTATACATGGTAGCATGAACAACTTACATGTGGGAAACAATGGTGTTGAAGATAGTTGTTTCCTATCCAAATGCCGTTGGATTGCCTCAGTTTTGGAAATTCGATCCGAGAACGTTTTGTTTAAGGCTTCTGGGACTTTTCCTTATACTTCTTAAATATGTTGTCCATGGATTCCTCACAACTAAGAACCATGACATTTTGATTTCATTAACATAGTCTGGAAAAATGACAAGTGGTTAGATGTGTAAGTCAAGAGTACCAATGCATACATGCTAAACTTACAATATGATGGTGCTGAAGAAACAGTTCTTACTACTTCATCCCCTGATTTAAATTTTGGGTATGTCACAGAATAATATGGTGTTCCATTTTTGTTTTTGGCTGTCTGTGAAGGTTTTCATTGAAATGAAGTACTGCCAGTACGTGCCTAAACAGAACAAACCATTTACTATGTAATTTTTTTCTTGACTAGGAACAAGTAAAAAAGGCTTGGCAGATAGAGAACAGTGATTACAAGTTACCTGCAATATGTACCAAGCCAAGAAAAGTGGGTCATCTTTGGATGCCAACCATTTAATGTTGAATGAAAGCCTTCGAGACAACTAGTTTGTGCTTCTAAAGATAGTTTTTTAACATCTTTGAGAGCAGATTTTTTCAACAGAATGGAGGAAAGTCGCTGATATGATTTAGTTCCTTAAAAAGAATACAATCCCATCTGAAAAGTGGTAAATAACATTTTAAACATTTTAACAATCTCAATTCTGTCTTGCTGCCTAAATGTGTGCATGCTCATACCAACTTGAAGCCATAGACGTTCATCTAGCTCTCCATGAGCACATTTAGGAAACAACTCATCTGGATGGTTTTCATGCTTGTTTGTAATGTGCCTAGCAATGGATTTCCATTTTGCCACAATCATATCTCCATATCCCATTTTAGTAGACATAGCCGACCAATATAAGTGGTTGTGGATACCTTTAATCCCAAACACCAGCAACTCACAGCCTTTTTCTTTACTAGCCTTTAATATTGTTTTGGAAAGTCCTTTGCAAACATGCCACAAATCATTGAAGTGCTGGGTTTCCTTCTCAGATGTTCGAATCCACTTTGCAATCCCTTTGTGACGATCGCTAATAAATATGGAATTTGTAGTCCACTATCTTGAAGAAACTTGAAGCATCTTTGAGCTCCATCCAACTCCATGGCATTGCTACTACCAGACTGATTTGACTATACGAAAGGTAATGAAGTTTATGTAAAACTATAATATTATTTTGAGGTCTTGTTCAAGTAAAATGAACTGATTATCTTAAATGTACATGAAAATGTTTATTAGTTGAAAAAATATTATGACTACCTGTCTGATGTCAAAATGAACTATTTTGGAAATACTGTTACAAAACATGGAGTAAGAACAGTACTTAGCACTGTGGCCCATCGAATCAAATCTGCCATCACCAGACCAAGTAGCATTTTCTATATTTTTCACATTTTCAATCAGGGCTTTTTGATACTTCTCCCAGTGCAATAACACTGAGGGGACCAGGAACTTGTTTTGATGTAAATAATATGCTCTGCTGGTGATTGAACAAAGGCCCAAATGCTTGAATAGTAAAACACTTTATTATGCTGACACCTGACATCAGAATGGCAAAACTTGTCATGAGATTTCCAGCCGCGTGCCTTCCCAATACATATGGCTGACTGTTCCATTGAAAATTTCTAGTTGGTCCACAAATAGAACAACATTGAGTTACAACAGCCATTGAACCTTTCTTTTTTGATTTCCACCTGAGGATTTGGACTTTTGCAATTGAAGCAAAACATGCTGAACAGTGATATGAGCATGCCATAAAAGACAATGAATTTGGGTTCGTCACATGGCAGGGTACCAGGTTCCATGCTAAACAGAATTAAGCACATATTCATACAAGTTGAACTTCGTTTTCTACGACATTTATGCTGTAACTCACCTAACAGTGTTTTTCGACTGGGAATCTTCAGCTTCATCTTGTGATGAAAACGGTTCATCTTCATATTGCCAATCCATATCTGTAATGTCAGGATCACCAATAATATCCTGGATATCGCCGATATTAAAAAATTCATTTGGCTCGTTACTGGATTGAGAACCGTCACTTTCAGTATCGGAATCATCACTTTCCTAAAACGTAGAATAGGTAACCGTGCGTAAATTTCCAATGGTCGATGACAAACGTATAAAATGTATTTACACCAACGGGTCAAGTTCTGACTATTTCGTAAAGAACCTGTTATTTAAAAAAAAAAAAAATTTATACAAAGCACCTTATTCTCAATACATTTATTTACCACCTATTTCAAGAAGTAAATACGTACCATGATTAAACTGTCGCTCAGCCTTTTTTTTGATTTTTTTAACCAACTGATTTTCTTTTGTAGTTTTGTAATTTTTTGGCAAGTATGTCGCATCTACTGCACATTTCAACTTGCTCTTGTTTTGGCAGCAGTTCTGGTGAATCCTCTCTAACTGGTTCACTATCAACGCTTTCTGTCGTGTTACACTCGTCAGAATTCCCTTCATCATCAGTACGTTTAACAGCGGGTTCAACAACTTTTACACTTCGTGTTACTTCACGCAACACCTGTTGAAGATAATAAGACACATTTACATGCATTTCCAGGTTGTGCATACAAACTTGTGTAATTTAACTTGTATAATTTTGTACTTACAACTCTGCGGTCGCGATTGCTCTTATCACCTTGGATTGAAATGCCTTTTACAGAGTCTATGGTTGGAACAGCATCAGAGCGCAATTGTCGTCTCATGTTTAGCGATTTTGCAACTGTTGCGTTCACGGTGAATGCAGAATCTGCGAAATGCATTGAACATAGCACAGAGTACTGCTGAGGAACGAATTTTGGCCTATGTCTCTTAACAAATTTCGTCCATTTATTCAGCCTCTCCTTGTCCTTCATGGGGAAACGATGTACTGAGACACCCTCTGTGTGTTGACTGTTTGTACAACTTTTTCCATTGGGCCAACCAGCAACACAATATTGTCCTCCTCGACGATTTTTTGCAGAATTTTGCCTACTCGCCATATTTTAACTTGCCGTGTATCGTTACGTTTGACTAACTTAATAAAAAATTATTCTCCTTATATTATGTGCGTTGTGATAATATTGCATGGGTTTTAAAACCACAGACTACGTCAAGGATGCGACACCCATATGATAAGAATGATAAGTCTAATCCAGAAGTTTATAAAAGTAGTATACATTGGATGATTGGAAATAAGTGCGTTACAGTTAGTTTCGGATAACATTGCGTGTTTGTTAAAACCGCAGACTTCGTCAAGGATGCGGCACCCAGTTTATTGAGAAATATAAGTTAATTCAAGAAGTTTATAAAACTCTAATCGATTGTAAATGTTGCTTACCTATGCGTGTTGCTAAATTGTCACTAAATATACGCAATTTTTGCGAAGAGAAGTTATAAAATATGTAAAATTCCAGGTGGAAATATGCTTGTTCGTATATAATTTTTATATACTAAGACCTTTAAAATTGAACTTCCGTCCTTTAAATGACGTCACGCACTCAAAGTCAAATTCGCATCAAAACAAGCAAATATGCCATGTTTGAACGCAAAGTTCGATGCGTTCCCATCGACTAAATTCAGTGGGCGATAGCTCAAAATGATCAGTAAAATACAGAGAAAACGTTTGTATCGAAAAACGAAATATGAAAATTTCACTTCAGTAGAACTTTAAGGTTAGAAAACTTATGACATGTTATGCATGCACGCTTACACAAGAATATATAAGCAAATATAAATTGACTTGATGTGATGCCCGATGGATTTGTCATTTGTGTTTTATTTATGTGATTCAAAACAAAACAAATTTTCAAATTTCGATCATATTTAAAACGTTTCTATTGATTTATTTCTTGATGTGTTCAATAGTATACTTAAGATAAGATATACAAAAATGAACTGAAGCATGATATTTGAAATTTACATAACATTATTTCAGATCTGCTACAAATGGCAACTGCCTCTATAGTTCATTGTCAATTTTGCTTGTTGGTGACAACTCTGTGGTGACTATTTTGAGGCTGATGACCTCTATAGAATTATTTTTATATGCTGATTATTATGCGAAACATCCCTGTTTTTCAAATCTTTTTGAAACTCAGCATAACAAACATTTTGATTCTATCTCAAGCATGGTGGCCATATCAGTCTCTTTTGAAGCTATTGATAGTGCTGGAAGTGGTTTTTCTGTTGCTGAACTGGTCAGGGCAGAAGCTGTGTTAAATGCAAAAGATATGGCATGGACTGGGTTTGTTTGTTTGTTGGCACTCTCTTCAATTACATCCTGTAGCATTTATTCTTATTATCCTGACATATACTCTAGTGCAGGGGTCTCCAAACTTTACAGCCAGAGGGCCACATTAACTTTCATCCAGCATGTTGAGGGCCGACGAACAGTATACCACTGGTCAAAGAGTGAATATTTTAATATAACGAAGTACATGACACAAGCTTCATTAGTTAAGAAATATTTATTCAAAATTTAAACTTTAAAGGTTTAATTTCAACCAAGAGTAATATCATAACAAAATCACAATTATTCTGTTCAGTTTTCTCAATGTGAGTGGTGAAATTGGCTTTTTCATGACAAAATTGTAAAAAAGTCTAGCTTTAAGTTTGAGGTCCCAAGCATTAGAAGAGCCCTCAGATTTTCATCTGACATGTTTGTTCTATAACTGTTTTTCATATACTTTATTCTAGAAAAAGTTTCTTTACACAGGTATGTGGTGCCAAACATAGATAGCAGTCCTGCAGTGAAATGCCTCAAATTTTGATAGTTCTCTTTCGGTTCTCTTTCTTTAAATTCTTCCCCCAGCAAGTCATTTGTTTGTTGAAGTTGGGACAAAAATTGACGTTGGGACAAAAAATCCACTCTTGCAAGTTGACTTGAGTCATAACGTGAGCTTTCTGCACAAAGTTTATTTTGTTTAATAATATTATTTTTCTTAAGTGTCTCTGCGGGCCGGATTGAGAGGCCCAACGGGCCGCATCTGGCCCGCAGGCCGTAGTTTGGAGACCCCTGCTCTAGTGCTTAGAGGTGGAATTTATTATTTAACCAAAGAATTGAACCTCGTATTCGATCTAGAGCTTGTGCTTCCACTAGTAATTATTTGCGAGTTTTGTTTTGCTTTGAAGGTTCAGCTCCTCAAGCAACTGCATTCAAACACAATCATTATGTGCCTTTGATACTTGGTGGGAAGGGAACTAAAAGAAAGGGGAGTTGTCACTTGTCACAAGCTAAAAGGCCCAGTATACAAACAAAGTTGAGGTTTACACCTTCTGGTCCCACTGAGACAACCATGACAACTAAGGATCATCCGTATGGTATATCTCACAGTAGCGCTTTGGGTTCTTGTGATGATTCTTCTTTTATTTCATCTTCTACCTTGCAATTACCAGATAATAAAACTGCAAATGCTGATTTACCTAGAAATTCATATGATGTTGGTTTTTATAGAGAAAAGGTGAGAGGTATGGAAATTCATGAAATTGAAAAACTTGTGAAGAATGTATTCGTACCTGATGAATGCTATGAATTTCCTAAAACTGTTGATGCAAATGGTCGCAGTAGGTCCTTTCGACATGATTGGCTGAAGGATTATCTTTGGCTTTCGTATTCTCCAAGTCTTAATGGTGCTTTTTGCTTACCATGTGTTTTGTTTGGTGATAGGTTTCCCTCCAAAAACAGTCGAATTAAAATATTTTTTTCAGAGCCATTAACACATTGGCCTGATGCTAAAAGTGCAATAAAAAGGTATATAAGTACATCATGAGGTCTTCATGTTCACACTTTGGCTCTTCTTAAGGATATCTTGGATCACAGTTCCGGTAAAAGCCAGCCAATAAATGTCATGATTGATAGTAACTTAAAGAAAAGGATTTCAGAGAATAGGAAAAAATTAGTTCAAGTAGTTGATACCATCATTCTTGCAGGTCACCTTCAATTACCACTTAGAGGTCATCGGGATGATTCTCAGTATCGTCCTGAAGTTGGTGAATATTCTGAAAAGCATGTTGGTAATTTTATTGAATTATTAAACTTCCGTGTTCGCGCAGGGGACACCATTTTGGAAGCCCATCTTAAGCATCATGATAAAAATGCCTCCTACATCTCTAAAACTACTCAGAATGAGTTAATTAGGTGTTGTGGTCAATTCATCACTGAACAGCTTCTAGTTGAAGTGCAAAAGAGCAAGTTTTATGCATTGATTGCAGACGAAACATGTGATATTTCTAATAAAGAACAGATGTCTTTGGTTTTGTGTTTTGTTGACGAGGAGTTCAACATAAGAGAAGAATTTTTTCGTTTCATTCATTGTAGTGAGGGTATGTCTGGGAAGGACCTTGCATCTGTGATTTTGAAATGTTTAAACGAAGAGTTGAATTTCAACATTCAGGACTGTCGTGGGCAGGGGTATGATGGCGCAGATGCTGTTGCTGGATGCATTAATGGTCTTGCTACAAGGATTAAGAATTTGAATGATAAAGCCATTTAAACACATTGTTTCAGTCACAGATTAAATCTTAGTATTTGTGGGACTTATGCTGTTCAGTATGTAAGAAATGTTTTGGAACATGTAAAGGAAGTTGCTAACTTTTTCAACTCTTCTTAATGCAGACAACTAATTTTGGAGAAATGCATTGGAGAAAACTGTCCAGATTCTGCAAAAAAGAGATTGAAAAGTGCTTGTAAGACAAGATGGGTCGAGCGTATTACTAGCTTAGTTACTTTTGAAGAACTGTATGTTGCTATTGTTTTTTCCTTGGAAGAAATGAGTTTTAACGTCGAAGGCAAGTGTAATCGTGAGACCTCTAGTAAAGCTTCCCCTCTGTTACATCTTTTGACATCTTTTGATTTTATTGCAGCACTCGTAATAACTAGGTGTATTTTTGATCTTACTCTTCCAGTTACTCAGTTACTTCAGTCTTTTAGTAATGATATTGCTGACGGTTTGAACTTGATTGAGGCATTAAAAAAATTGTCGAGAACTGTAAGAAATGAATTCGATGTTTATCATGCTAACTGGTACAGTATTGCATTGACGATGGCAGAAAAAGTGGGTGTTGAACAGAAAAAACCTAGAACTTGTGGTCGTTAGGCAATTAGAAGTAATGTTCCGTCTGAATCTGAATCTGATTACTTTAAGAAAACAATAACCATTCCTTTAGCTGATTACTTGTGTTCTGAGTTAGAAAAAAGGTTTGATTCATCAGCAACTAGCATATACTATAGCTTGTTTTTAATTCCATCCAAGTTACTTTTGTGTTTTTCTTGTGGCGTTTCTTGGAAGGAAAAATTTTACTCATTTTCTTCTTTGTTCTCGGATGATCTTCCAAATCCAAAGGCTTTAGATGGTGAACTTGATCTCTGGCAGAAATACTGGGAATCGTTTTCTACAACTTGTTTTCCCGAAATTGTCTCTTCTACTTTAAAGTCGGTAAATTTTCCAGGTTTTGAGCACATAAAAGTATTGTTAAAGATCTTAGGTACTATTCCAGTCACTTCTTGTGAGTGTGAGAGGTCGTTCTCTGCTTTGCGAAGATTAAAGAACTATACAAGAAGTACTATGGTTGCTGACAGGTTAAATGGTCTTGCTTTATTGTATATTCATCAGGACATTAATGTAGATATAGAAAAGATTATAGATCTTTTTGCAAAAGACAAAAGAACAACTGAACTAGCTTTCTAGTTCGGAGTGAAAGTTCTTCATGCCTTTTTTAAACTCTTGACTGTAAAGATGACTGCCGCTAACCTCAGTCAATATAAACACAAACAATCGTTCTCAGGACTTTACTTACCTGGACGACCAAATCTACAAACATTTTTTTGCTTTTTTTTATTGACAACTTCATTTGATCAATTGACATAGAATCGTTTGCATAATAATCAGCCAAATAGGTATGACTAGACCATTATAAAATGAAATTCCATATTAATGAAGCGTAAAGAATTTTTTTAGGCTAGGTTTGTAATGAACCAGGCCGTCCATGTCGGAAGCCCTCAAAGCATATTTTTCTGCGAGTTTCCTAGGCATGCTGATGAGCTCTGATATTGAGCAAAACAGTCAAAAATCGATAATTTATGAGCAAGAATGTTAGCTCATTCCAGTAATAGATATTTTAGAAGACCAACTACAAAAACGCAGGAAATAGCGTTTTTCGCAATCCAATTTTAAAATTTTCCCGGGGGGACATGTTCCTGGACCCCCCTAGAAAAGTCGCGCTAACGTTGCGGCATTGTGCCTAAGTTCATATACGAAGCTGGATCCGCCCCTGATGACAGTAATTAGCAAGTCTTAGGAAGCTTCAGCAAGGAGGTGGGCAACATACCATATAAAGAGACGGTAGATATTGTCGCCAATGTCGTTTTAAATTAAGCAACACTGGTTCGCTTCTAAAACTTTTATTGAAAAGGTTCCTTGGCTTCTTAAATAACGACGTTTCTTGGCAACTTAAATTTGATTCAGAAATTTTCTGATCGGGGGATGAGAATCGATCTGAAACAGAAATTTTCGGTTAATTTTGTATGAAGCATCAAACGTTACATGCCATGTTTTATCTTCATTAAATTTTACTTTTCAAATTGGCAGAAATATTCTATCAGAACGTTTTCTCTTTCAGCAAATACTGGACAGAAATATTTCATGGGAAGAAATGGAATCTATTGAACTGAGGATAGATAATGCAAAAGAGGTAATCAGAACTAAAACAATATTCAAAGAACACAGTCGTACCTCAGCATTATGGCTAAACTATACGTGAATAGATTGTATTCTTTGGACATTTATCACAGCAGAATGCTACGGCAAGAAGCATCTGCACTTACACGTAATCAGCAAGATGCCCAACAGTGACAATGAGCTTTGAACTTTGACATGCGGCTTATTATCTTTGTACTTTATATATTTACAACTGTTAATGAATTAATTGAAATGTAGTTTTGGATAAGAATAAAACTAAATTTCGAAACCAAATACTTAATAAAATTATTCAGGTAGATTACGCGTATCTTCCTCAAGTTTCTTTTTTTTTAAAGATGTCTGACTAGATTATTTCTTTAAAAATTTAACTAAACGTTGTTGGAAATGATATTAGATTGAATCCAAACCCTTTTTATAAACAAATTTATCCAAATTTATTGGTGAGACGTGGCAATATTAGCAATAAAGAGACATTTCGATGAAAACATTGTTTGAATTTTCTGCGTACAGAAAGACAATTTTGGAGCTTTTCCAAAAATTAGGACTTTATTAGGACTTTTAATATGTTATTTCAGATAATCTTTGGGCAAATAACATTAAAAACACCTTCAGTTTCAATTTGGGGTGAAACTTATAATGAACAGACTTTAATCTCTTTAAGGATAATGCAAATTCCATAGCAATAGCCGACAGTGCTGTGAACCACTGTTAATGTGAGATTGCCATGCTTTTACTAAAAACTGTCTATGTCAGGAATAACAACGTTGCTTGCAAAATATGCTTTCTAGACTTGTTGACGAGCACTAACATTGGGCAAAACAGGCAAGTAAGTAAGTATTGTTCACCATATCATGTATAAATGCATTAAAAATATTATTTTTTTTCACAAACGATGCCTAGAGAAAAATATGATTTGCACTTTCTAAAAAATGCTGGAAACTCAATTTCCGGAACCCTAGAAATCCTAATTTTCCGAGAGAGCATATTCTGACCCTTACCCTTTTGGGCAATTTATTCTAGTAAGGCATTTCTGAGTTGCAAAAAATATCAACAACATAAAATAATATTACTATAGTCATTTTACCCTGGTTTCATTGCCAAAACTAGGCAAGATGCACCAACAGTCGCAAAACAGGTGGTTATCAGGTAGTTTTTTAAGAGTTTTGCATATCTAGATGTCTTTGAAAAATATGGATAAAAATATGCTGTAATTCAATTAATATACAAATCCTGTTGCTTAAACCCAGTTCATATCAAATGTTCAACGCTTGTTTAAGAATTGTTTAACAACTTAACCTGAGGGCAAGTTACTTGCGCCCCACGGACTATGTGGGTTGTGATAACAACCTACCCGGGGATGTTAATATAATGTGCAATGTACAAAGAGCTGGTAGACCTTGATGCAAGTCCTGACAATACAACAAGTGATGGATTATAAAACAATAGAAGTCCAGAATGCATTTTAACAAAATAAAATTAAGCTTAGCCCAGATCTATTGTTGTGAAAACAAGCGCAATGATCCAATTTGTGATTAAAGAGAAAATCATCAGTGAAGAAGTATCATGAAGCAAAAGCTTGGTTTTCAAATCACACTCATTTTTAGTATGACTTGATAACATTAATACCTGCATTTAATGGTTTAAGTCTAAAGTCTTTTTCATTCAACAGGTCAATCATTACATAGTTCACAAAATAAAATATAATGCTGTCAAATGAGTCAAAATTCTCAAAGTACAGCAAAGAATCCAAGTTCGCGGTAGGCTACTATAAGAGGAATGGCTGTTTAGATTCAATCTGATCTCCAGAATGGCAAAGCTACGCACAAAACCATATGCACATGAGAAAGTTGACAATGTGATTTATGTCTCGGTGCACATTACGGTATCTACTTAATAAAATGCTTTTGCATCACTTCGTAATTAATAATAGTGTAAACAACTAAATTCCGAGTATAGCAATTGCAGTTTGTCCTAAGCAAAGAAAAAAGCTAAAAAATTTCTTCTCTCCATATAAGGCTTTTTGTTTTTGTTGGTATTTGCAACAAAATTGGCAAACGCTGAACAATTTTGTTTTCTGTGTCCCAACTCTCCTTATACGGGACTCTGGAATCAACATACTGGCTAAAGTAATGGCTGACCTGACACACAGGCCCAAAAAATGTTCTAATAAAGCATTGCCACCAAAATTTGACAGCCTTTATAGACACATTAAAAGAGTAAATTACTGGGTTGGTGTGGGATGTCAGTTTCTTTTACCCCTAATGACTCTTTCTCCGAATTGGTAACGGTTGTCACTCGTCAGCTTTCAAAAGAAGATACTGATACTGTATGAATGACGTGTCCTCCATCTCTAGAGTCTCTTCTTGACTGCGTTGATAGCCAATGTAAGAGCACAAGTTTATAATCGTGCAATTTAGAAATGTATAATCATGTAGGAACGCTGTCATAGTCTGCACATTTATGCTGTTTTGTTAACAGCAAAAGTATAAGACGTAAAAGTGACGAAAAAAATTTAGTAGAAAATTCAGACAACGATAGTAGTCAAAGTACTGTTAGGAATTTAAACGACACTGATGTATGTTAAATGTAAAATAATATACTAATCAAGTATTTTTGCGAAATGTATGACATTTTACATTTTTAAGTATGATTTGCCTTATTTCCCTTCAAAAAAACATTGAATAAAAGTTACAAATATAAGCGAAGTAGGGAAATGAAAGTAGTAAGATTGCGTTAAGTACGCATACTTACGCCTCTCTTGCCTTACGTCTCTCGCATGTAGGAAAAGTGTGGGGAGCAAATGCTAGATTTTGGTAAAATTTGGTGCTGGAGTTTGCTCGCTTACGCCGCAAAAAATCGATCTATTGCTCGCGTCACTTTTGACCTTCTGGCCTTGGCTTAGTAGAAAACAATATATTGGAGTATATAATGATGAGAAATGCCACTCTTTCTAATGAAAACAATAGAACAACCACTAACAACATATCAATTTAGTATTATTTTTATTTGCTCGAGTGTAAGTTTCTTTCACGTTTAGACAACAAATTTAAAATCAATAAACGCAATACTGCTCCATGTATAATAAGTCAGAGCCGTTCGTACTGTGACGTCACAGCACCGAGTTAGCACCAGTCTCTTTTGCGAGGTTTTCAATATTTTTTAGGCCTCTTTTATAAGTTGCATTTTACATGCGTTAAATGCATTAGAGACAAAAGAAAATGAAATAAAATTCCTCATTATCTTTTGTTTTGAATGTAATCGATTTATGTAAAACGCGACGTATTAAACAGGCCTTACTTATCAAAAGTCAGACTTCAAACAGCAATATCTTCTTAGCAAGAGAAGCAATTTCAATTCTATTTTTGAATATTGTACGTACTGTTAATGTATATTTGAAAATTATAAAGTTCCATTTTGTGTTTGGGGCACTTTAAAAACGGCAATATTAACCATTGATATTTTAAATTCTATTCGACTTAGAAACTTTAAACGCTCGTTAAACTCTGTGCATTCTCAGCTTTTAACTCATATTTTAATGTATTAACGTGAAACTTCATTTTATGAACTCAATAAACCTTTTTTATATAAAATTTAACTTTAAATACCTGATAAAATGCAAGCGTCATGTTGCAGGCAATCTTTGCTGTGTTTGGTTCTACAGCTTCGATAAACCACAAATGATACAGACTTTTCATTTAGATCAAACGTAATCGGTAAATGTTGACAACTAACATGATTCTTTCTTCTAAAAAAATCCAATAACACATCTACACCTGACAAAAGGTCGCTGTTTGGTTTATCCAGAACTTTCGTTAGACATGTGTAATTTTTTGCACAGAATTCCCATTCCGACAAAAATGAGTTCTGCATTAACATGCTGATACCAATTACGTTGACTGAACATTGTTTAGAAGTCTGCAAATCTTTTGTACTGGCAAGTAGAAGATTTCCATTGCTCAGCGTTTGCGATAAGTCCAGGGGCGGATCCAGGATTTTTAATTCCTTAGTCGGAAGGGCGTGGTCAAACAAAATTTTAATAAATGGGCGTGGTCGCATTAGCTAAAAATTCTGCTAACGCAACATTGTTAATATGATGAATTATAAGGACTGTTTCACCCTATATCAGAGCTCATCAGCATGCCTAGGAAATGGCACCCTCACCACGTGAAAATGCAATTCCGACATGGACAGCCTCAACGTAATGAGAAGCCTTAAACAAAAAGAGAGCAGTCTGGTTTTAAGGCGCCAGATACTCGCCTTTCACACCTTTGCAACAAAGCAACAGGAGTTTGATTAGAAAAGCGACAATGTGGGACATTTCAAAGATGTAAAATTGCTCAGTTTTCTACATCATCCCTGTCATTCTAATCCTTTAACCTCGCCCCAAGAATATGGACACACATAATCTGAATCTAATGGTTATTTTGCCGAGCTAAACAGAAAAGTAACACAAACCACCGCTAAAGAAAACGTCGAAACGCTGACCTAAACATTCAATTTCCATAAATTTTGACGATACTCCAAGCTCAAACTGATTTCTTTTATAAAAAGGTATTGTTTAGGAAAAGATATGCTATTGACTGGTGACACAGTTAACTTATTAATTCCTTTGAGAGCATGACTCCAAATGTCAGTAACCCTGTTAATGATGAAGTTAAATATTTGGTCTTTCATAAGGTCAATTGTTCCTTCACAAGTATCACAATTAGACAAAGTTGTTGTTATTCCCAGATCAAAACGCATATGCATTAATTAAGACCTTACAAAGGTGAATATTTCTTGTATGTTAGGTAACTTCATCAAAACGCGCATCATATATATTTTAAGATGTAGATCGCCTGGTTAGTATAGTCCTTAGAAGGACTGTTGGTGTTGATGTTGACTGACGTTTCGACAACCTTAGTGGTGGTCATTTTAAAAGTCTAGTGACAGAAGATGTTGTATATTTGTACCATTTTCACAGAGATACAAAAGCAATTGTGCTGTGTATGACACACATAAATTGACGTTTTCAATGTTCTTTTAAAAAGTGCTACGAGAAAGAGATGAAATACTACATCCAATATTCCTAATTCAAACTTGAATAGACATATTAAAATGATGCAACACATCATACAAATAATTTCAAAATGGTTTCACGCAGGCTCAGAGGATTACCCATAGTGAAATTATTTAATATACAAAATTAAGGCTAAGTGACACGTTTGTCACTAAGATTTATGAGATATCATGACTATACAAAAAATTAGAAGCTCTTTCTTTCCTTCTCGTCAAAACTATAATGACCAAGCCTAAAGAGTCAAATTTTACAATTTCAGTTCTAATCGCCGGTTTCCATACGCAAATTTATTGATCACCTCATCAACAGTAGGCTCTATTTCCTGATGTATTCGCATTAGTGCAAGTCCATTTAAGCGTTCTTCAACCATCGTACTTCTGTTGTAAGTTTTAAGCATGCGAAGTGCTGAAATAGAGCGTTCGCACTCACAAGAAGTAACTGGAAGAGTGGCTAGTAACCGTAGACATGCCTTAATATTCTCAAAACCTTCAAACCCTAAAGCTTTAAGTGTGGAAGCTGCACTGTCCGGTAATGATCCCTCATATGTTGTCCAAAACTTTTCCCATAATTCCAATTCAGCATCTAATCCTAAGGGATTAGGAAGATCATCTTTGTAAAAATCTGAAAACAAACGAAAATTCTCTTTCCAATTCTTTTTGTTTGGTGGAAGACTGTTAATTAGCGAAATCATTTTTGATGGAACAACGCTAAAGCCGTTATAAACGTTGATTTGACTAAAATCAAATCTTGCCTGAAGATCAGAGTTTAAGTGGTCTAGAAAAGGAATAGTGAGAGCCTTTTGTAATAATCTGAAGCGCTAGAAGATGGGTGATTCTCATTGTGAACTTGTCTGCCAGCTGTTCTGGGCATTTTTCATCGACATCTACGTTTTTAGCTAAAGAAACTGCTTCACTATACCATTTACCATGATATAAATCAACATCATTCCTCAATAAAATTCCCAAGTTTTTTAATGACTCAATTAAATGCATTCCATCCATAACATCACAGGTTTTAGCTTGTAATAACTGAGTAACAGGAAGTGTTAAATCTAAAATATTTCTACTAATGACAAGGCTAACAATAAATCTGAAGGTGGAAATCAATGCTAGGAAAGAAGAAGCTTTAGAAGATGTTTCTGGATTACACACATGAGCATTATGGCTCATTTCAGTTAAAGTATGAAAAATTGGAAGGAATAATTCTTGAAATATATCTAGACCATCTATTCGCTCAATCCATCGAGTTCGACAAACATCCTTTAACTTTGATTTACCTGAATGTGGGCAATAGTCTTCAACTGCTTTTGAAAGTAACATTTGCCGTCCATCAGAGAGATTGAAAAAGTAAGAAAGTTCTTTAATTTGACTAAAAACATTTCTGACAAAGGGGACAGAACATGAATTACATATTGCAAGATTTAACCTATGGCTGTAACAGTGGGTGTAGATTGCTTTAGAATTCAAACGAAGAATGCGTGCAGAAAGACCATTGATATGCCCTGCAACAGCCCCAGCTCCATCATATCCCTGACCTCTGCAATCCTCAATGCTTAATTTTAGTTCTGTTAATGCACTGTGAATTAATTTCTCAAGACTTTCCCCTGATAAACCCCATTTGCAGTGCAAAAACCTCACAAAATCTTCTCTAACATTCCTATTGCTATCTACAAAACGAATCACAAGAGAAAAGAATCTGCTGCTTCATCAGCAATTATACTAAAAATTTATTTATTTTTATTTCACTAGTTATTTTTCAGTGATAACCTGTCCACAAGCAGCAATTAGATCATTTTGAGTAGTCTTTGAAATATAAGAAGCATTCTTTGGACAGTTTTCAAATGATCAGCTAAAACTGTGTCACCAGCCCGAACACGAAAATTTAACAATTCAACATAGTTACCAACACCACCTTTTGAGTAAGAACCAACCTCCGGATGATATGAAGAATCATCACGGTGCCCTCTTAATGCTAACCCAAGTCTACCACAAAGTTTAATAGTATCAATTATTGATACAAGTTTTTCCCTATTTTGCCTGATGACTTGCTGTTTGTGCTCATCAATCAACACCTCAATCTGCAGTCCTTCTCCTGATGCCTGACCAACTAATGACAAATATTTATTACGTGTGCTTTCGTGCAAACCTGCTCTGGTGAGAGCCTTAGAACTCAAACCAATATGGCGTTTGAAGCAAGCTTTAGCATCAGGCCAATATGTCATTGGTTCACTAAAAAGGTTTTTAATTTTTGTATTTTTATTCGAAACTGATCACCAAACAAAACACAAGGCAGACAAAAGCACCATCCAAAGAAGGGAGTAACACAACCAAGAATAATCTTCCAGCCACGAATAAAGAAAAGATCGACCATCAGCTGATTTAGGAAATGGGTAGGATCTATTCGGTTTAAAACATTGTGAATGAGCTGGAGCTTTTGAGAATCATTCATATTTCTAGCTTTTTCTCTAAAATATCTCACATCATTTGGATATTGCTGTGAAAAATCTAATGAAAATGATTGCAAAAGTTCTTGTTTTGGGTTATGTATTAAACCAAGACTAGTGATGGCAGGCACCTTTTGTGTTGATTGTGTTTGTGTAGTACTAAATAATTTGGGCAAAATAAATTGTTTAGCCTTATTACTTGCTGGGGTTGAAACTGGTTGAAAAAAATTAGAAATGTTAACAGTAGAAGACTCTCCTTTCAACTTTGCCTGAACATGAGGAATTTTCTTGTTAGCTTTTTCTAACAAAGCAGAAGCCTTTCTTTTAGTTTTACTGATAGGTTTGAAAATAAGAGGTGCAAAGTGATTTGGCTTAAAGACTTTACTAGAAGTCAATAGAGTTGTAGAACAAAACAAGAGGTATAAATAGTTATATTGAGTAGGTGGTGTTGGTAAAGGAAGACGAGGTGAAATAATTTGGTTGAATAACAACTTAAAAGAAACTTCTCCACAATCAGGATACATCAAAGAAATGATTCTATTAGTAACTGAGGAGAGAGCAAGTATACACAAAACTACCCCAAATTTTATCTCTACAGTTGCAAAGAGCTTCCATTTTAACAAGATCAAGCCCTGATAAACGTGAATCCACACTTTCAAAACAACAGGACATAGCCAAAACATTTTTTGCACTAACAGAGACCTTGTCACCATGCTTCTCTAAGGTGGAAGTGAATATTGGATGATAACAATAATAATTTGCATATATAAAAAGCTCTATAGATACCATAGCTCTCAAAGTGTGAATGAGAGCATTGCTTCCAACCAAGGCCAGAGAAGCAGAGCTGTATAGACAATTTCCAGATGGTTCAGATCTAATAAAACAGCAGTCGAAAGATTTCTTGATTATTATAAGACTGCAACAATTTATGCAATGTCAACAAAGCGAGTTAAAAGCGATCATTTCAACAACAATGAAATGACAACAAATCGGCAGTTTTGGTCTTAACGTGTCATAACAACTACGCAATTAGGCTTATATTCATTTCTACTTATCTTAATTTAACTAATTTTACCTTAGAGCAACCGATGGCTTCGTATTGTCGGCCTTCACATGATGAGGCAAATAGACTGTCTCAGCATTTACATCACGATACAAAGATCGTCCAATTAAAGGAAAATGCTCTTCAGGCATTAAGAAACGAGAAGAATTATATATACCACATAATTCCTCAAAGGTCTTAAGCAAAGCAACATCATCACTTTTTTTTAAGTCAGAGAGAACCCGATCTAAAATACTGCTAGAGTTAGCCATGACGATCGATAAATATTCAAGCGCAATGAAGCAGACAAATATATTCCGACTAAGTTCGCTACAACAACCAATCAAATCCGAAGATTCGGCAACATCATATACAAAAAATAGATATATCCTGCAAAAAACTAACAATGTTGACCAATCACAAGCTTTAAATTGGTATAGATCCTGCAAGAAATCTCCACCAATTACAGCTATATAGCTGGTTCGTCTGGGCAAATCAGAATCACAGAATGAATATAGATCCTGCAGATCCTGCACGATACGCTAACCAATGAATGCTCGCAAATTGATCAATTTAAACCAATGAAAATCGGTATATGGACCCAAATCCTGCGGAAATTTTAAAACACTCAAGTGTTATAATTTAAGGAATACCCACGGAATTTTTTGAAAGTGACACGTTAATACGTTAGTCGCCCGACTTAGTTGACTAAGTTTAAATCCGCCTCTGAAGTCAGCAAGAAGGAATGATAGCTGTGTGTTTGGTTCTATCCAAATGGTTTCCCCGTAAACGGCAATCGTTTTTCATATAACAATTGGTTTTAACCTAGATAAATGATATTGCTTTATATGCAGTGGATAGTAAATTTGGTTATACTTGAAGAGACTTGAATATTAAGAGTTTGAGAACAAGAAGTCAAAAATGACAGTTTGCCTTGAGTTGTACTTTTCTTTGGTTTAGAAGAAAGAAAAGTGCATTTTCTCTTAAGCCCTTTTGATAATGATATTAATGGACATAATGATTATGCTGAAATGACGAAAAGGAATCTAGTAAACCTTCATAACAAAATAAAATTCTTATATGAGCAGAATTTGTGATTTCTGACTTCAGAAATCTGGGATCAATTCTTTGATTAAACAAATGCTGGAATTTTTCTGAGCAGGATTCAAAATCAGGATAGTAAGTGTATATAGTTCTAGATGTTACAGAGGCTAAAGCCAATTAACAAATGAAACCGCACCAGCTATTATGTGCACAGTTTAGCAAAGCCTCCTACCCCAGCAAATTAGAAGGTGCTATATTACTTGCTGCATCCATTGCCTCAAATTATACACACATAGCTATCATACCTGACAAAGATCTGAATACATAATATGGCTATGAAAACGTGAAATGAGACATGGATGTCTACAATAATAATCAGCATTTAAAAACCGCTCAAGGGAGGTCATTAGTCTAAGAGTGGTAATGAGAGAGTTGTCCCCAACAAGCACCAAAGAAACAGAACTTTACAAACAATTGCCAATTTCATTCGTTCTAAATAGTAACAATAAAAAATAAGATATATTTTATCAACTCAAGAGGCTGGTGTTGTCATAAATTGTTTAAAGGCGCTAAAAATATTTTTCAAAATTTCATGAAGTAAATTTAAAAGTAATTTAATGGAAAATTTAATAGTAGTTTAATTGTAATGATGTTCATTATCTGCCTTTCTTCAAAACCTCGGCGCGGTGCCACTTTTGTAACAAGCCGAGACTACCTCTTTCCGAGGTCCCGACACGCTAAAATTTCAAGGCACCCGACCCTTAAATTTTAGGCCTGCTATCCGTTTACACGAAAAAAATCAAAAGAGACGCACTCAAGAAAACAGGTTCGCGTTCCAAAAATTTAGGTGTACTTTGCCAAAATTGATTACCGTGTAAACAAACCTTTGGTATCGGGGCTATGAAATTCGAGTGCCGGAATGGGGCCAACATAGTTTTGATTTTCCCGTGTGTAAAATTTAAATAGAAATTCGCCTTTCGAATACATCGACGGATACAACCAAAAAGTTCGTGATAAATTAGCAGGATGTATACTTAAAACTTTAGCCAGTCAAATAGTGGGATTTGGTAATATTTCAAATATAACTGCCACTATATGCAAAGTTCATCTTTAATTTTCTCATATGAACTAAATTCTGCTTGATTTACTCCTACAATCTTTGAACTCTCAAACCATCTATCTGTTTCAATGGCTTGAATTACTGCTCGAAGAGTAATGTCTTCTCTTGTAGCTTCTTCCAGATCTTTCCTGCTGATTGTTTTTGGAACCGAGTTCTGTGTAACGTAATTAACAAATTCTTCTGTTACTTTCTCTTGCCGGTTGTTTAGTTTCTCATCAGAT